GAGTTTCATATGAAGAAAAATCTGATTCATAAGAATAATTTTCTTTACATAAACACGTTTTATGTTTGGGACAATTATATGTAATACCTTGTTCCTTACGAAGTGTTTCATATTTGTTGTATTTCTAGTTTATTACTTCAAAAATTTCTCGATAATTTGAAGATGTCCCAGTTAGAGAGACAAGCTCTGATACCATTTTTAAGAATAATTAGGAATATGCAACATTGGAGAGAATGATTACTTTCACTTGTGCATGGGCAAAAAAAATTGAGGGGAAAGAAATCAAAAAAATTATATTAAATAAAATATTTTGGTCTTGTGCCACTTATCCATTGATTCAATTTTTTTGATGGTGGATGTATGAAGAGAATCTAATTATGTGCTTTATTTATAATGCAATTGATGAGACAAATGAGTTAATAATTTATAACTTAGGAGGAGAGAAAGTCACTTCTAGAAAGCTTTGGGATATCATTGACAAGAAATACAAGCTTTTGTTCCATCGCTATTTGCGTGCTGCTAGATTATTTTTCATTTTGCCCCTCGAGAGCTCAATTAAGCTGCCCTTTTTTGTGCCCAATGGGCCCTCTTAGATAGCTTTTCTTTTAATCCGGTGCCTGAATTGTCGGAGTGTTTTGCTAATCTCCAAGATCATGACCCTTTTTGGCCGTGCCTGAGTGCATGCATTTGTACTTTTTGTAACTCTTTTTACATTTATTGCAAATGCACACCTTTCAAGGATACTCTTCATTACATGGATGGATTGATTGCTAACCCAATTGAGATGACAACTACTAATATGCAACTTGATCTATTTATGAATAATGAATGTTTCTTTCTGTTGCAACAAGCTAATTATATTATTATAAAATATTCTTCCATGTAATTTCTAATAATAATAAAGAAATGACTGATCAAATTCTCAATTTCTAAGTTTTAACTATATTATTTATTCAAATATATTTGAATGGTGGATTTAGCTTGATGATGGTATTCTAGATTTACAATATTTGTTGTTAAAGTATTGAGGCTTCTTTTCTAATCCATATGGATTTGGAAAAATTATTGCGTGCAGAGAGGGCACGCAAAGTTGCGTGCGCTTTCTGATCACAGCCGCTTTGCGTGCGCTCTCTGATCACAACCGCACATAAAGCCAAGGCTGTATGACAGTGGGTCCCACTGTTGCGTGTGCTCTCCGATCACAGCTGCACGCAGAGTTGCGTGCGCTCTCCGCACACAATAAGCGCTCCTGGATTTGAGCATATTCTGATCACATATAATCAAATTAACACAAAATGGAGAAACTGTATAATGACCTTAAAGATAAATTACTTTATGTATAATTGTATATTATATACAATAAGAGATTAATAGCTAAAATCTTGAAGAAGAAATGTTCGAAGGATTATGAGTTTTTTATTCAGTGAAGATATGTCATCGGATTATGAGTGATTTATAGATGAGGATAATAAGGTCACACTATTCTAGTTATAACATGACGTTCTGAATGTGGATTTCTTTGATAGAGATATAAACAAGATTAATCTATCATGCACAAGACAATAAGAGATAATAAGACAAAATGCACATAAAATTTAAGTATTTGAAATTTTCCAAATCTTAATTAATATTCTTAATTTTTTATTTATTATTACTGATTATGAAAGAGAAAGATGATTGAGATTGAAGAAGACAAGGAAGAATGGGTGAATTTGGACTCAACTGAAACAAGATGGGAGAAAATTATATATTATAATGGTGACTATTGAAAACCCCCAAGTGATGAGAGTACTAAGAGTTTTTTATTATTTATTATGTTCTTATTTAAGTTTATTGATGCTTTTATGTTGGAAAATATGATTGAGAGAAATTTACTATGCTGAGTTTATATTGTCTTACTTTGATATTATATGTCACTTTCAATTGATATTTTATGTTAGTTTAATCAATGATCTTTGTATTACACTTTTACTTCATGTATTTTGTTACATGATAATTTGCAATTTACATTATTTATTTTTTGATATAGGCACAATTTATCATTCATTACTATGTTATGATGTTAAAATGTATGTTCGAATATATTTATAGGTTATGGTGCTAATATATTAATATCTTACAATTGTTTTACTAAACTTATATTTCTAAATATAAGGCTTACATCTCAAAATGCCTTAAGCTTACATTTCCCCTCATGTATGAAAATCATCTCAGTACTCAATTCCACAATTTTAAACCTTGTACACTTTTCTTTCCCCTTTTTTATCTTTTCCTATTTATTACTTGTTTTATCGTTTTTTCTATGCTTCCCTTTTTGCCTTGTATATATGTTGAGAGAGAGAAAATGGAAAGAGAATGAGAGGGTTTACAGAGAGATTCAGAAGGGGAGAGAGTGAAAGGCAAGGAGAGATTTTAGGGGAGAGAGATGTGAAAAGAGGAAGAGAGTTTGAAAGAGGGTGAGATGAAGTAAAACAAGAGGTGAGGAAGAGCAGTTAGAGTGGGGGATGAATGAAGAGAAAGAGAGGTACAAAGATGGAGGAGGCAATGGGTGAGAGAGAGAGGAGATATTTGTTAGTTGGATTTGAGCAGGATATAAATAGGATTCAACTTGAATCTTGTTAAATAGTAAAATTCATAACTTTAAATTCCATGGAATCTTGAAATCTTGTTTCTTCTTCGTTTTACCTTATATCTTGGATTTGTTAAACCCAAACCTTAGTTGAATTTAAGCTTGAATTACAAACCTAAATCTGACGCAACTGAGAATTCATATGGATATATATATAACCAAGTTCTCCTTTCTTTTGGCAAGCACATTACATGCGGTCTAGATCACCAGACTTATGCTTGTAATGACTAACTCCAATTGATCACTGTCAAAGCCAACAGCTCATTTAGACCTCATTGAAGTAATTCAATTTTTTTAGCTTTAGTGTTTCAGTTTGGATTTCTTCTGGAAAATTTCTAAGAAATTAACATATGATTGAACTTGCTCTACTTCTAAACTAGGCTTGGGTTAATTTTTTCTAATTATGAATAAACAAAATCAGCAATATAAGACATCCTAAGTTTAGTTGGTTTTAGGTATTTCAATTGATATAACCATTGTATTCGAAATGTCACTTAAGCCCTAGATATCAGTACAAAAATCACCTTTGTACCAATTGGCCTAATCTGTTTTGCCAGTTTCTAAACTAAATGAACCTTGACTAAAATTAACTCAAAAGGGGACAAATTTGGTCAATTCAATGTTGATAGACAAATTATGTAATCTAGGGGATCTTATACTTATAATAGAGTATCCATAGGCTAAACATATTTATATATAAACATCACACTCTTTAATGGGACCAAGCATGCACAATTTATTCCAATTGACTCATATTAAACCAAGTGAGTAAAATGTGTTGGATTGGCAATAAACGTTAAATTTACCCAATTAGTTGGTTGTGAAGCTTTCTTAGGATGTCTTTAACATGATCAATCCTTACCGAGTCACATTTAATCAAGGGTTTGACATAATTTGGTCATATTAGTCAGTATAACCCTATAGGTAACCGTTGTTATTTCAATAAGATAAACAAATTGGAATGGCTGAATTAAATTGAACAATTGTTTAATCCTAATTGGGTAAATTCCATTTACTCTCATTAATAAGTTAATTTTATTAATGGGTCAATATGTCTCATTATGAGGTTAACCCCATTTTTGTTGAGCCCAATTTTCCTAGATTGCAAAAATTAAGTCAAACTATTAGGTTCAAATCTTGTTTAGGATAATGGCAACTAATTACCATTGAAATCTAACTGTGACAGTGGCTCTTTAGCATTAATTTTTCAAGTAGATTAATTTACTGCATCATATGTCCTCACCACTTGGACTATTTCAAAATCTTATGTAATTGGAATATAAGTTCTGACTTTTTAATAAATGAAATAAATCAAATAAATTAAATATGAATTTTAAAAATATAAAACCCAACTTATGATTGTCGAAGTGTTACTGAGCTTCCTAGTATCCAAGCACTTCCTACCTTTTCTCTATTGAATTATGATAATATTGTTCCAACTTAATATTTTTTTATTGGAATTCCAACTAAATAATATTAAGAACCTAAACTTTGACTTTTGTAGGGACATAAACCACTATTTAAATAAAAAATATCAATAAGAGACATCCTCTTCTAAGTTATAAATAACCATAGGAGTTTACCCCTATAATGAAATTGTATTAAATATTAAAATATACTTTATTTAACTAATATTAGGTAGGCGAAAAATATCTTATTTACAAAAACCTATAAATTTAGAAATATTTGTTCTGTGATTGAAATCATTATAGAATGTTTTTCTTAAATTTCAAGATTGTATGTTTACAATTCATGGGATAGAAAATCTTTCACACGCTCAAGACAACAATCTCATGTATAACCCTAACTTTAATCTATTAAGTCTGATTTATACCAAAAAAAAAAAATAGTAATTAAAGACTATTGTCTTGGGACTAATAAAAGACAAAATTGCCCTTAGGCTAGGCTCCGACGCAACAGTTATGAATGCCCTTCAAATGGTACCTATCTTTAAGTTTTATAGCTGTGAATGGGAGATCAACAACACAAAAGGTTGCAGTATCAAATTTACTAGAACCTGACCAGCCTTCAGTTTTCTATGAGCCTGCTGGTGAAAACTTGCACAAATATTCATCTCACCAACAACATTTATCTATTTTGCTAGCTCTCAATAAGTGCTTCTGTGAGAGGAGAGAACTACGAGACTGGAAATCGTTAGAAGGGCATTTATTTTATTTTCTTATTTAATGGTTCCATCAATATGACGATACTTATGTAATGCGTTTCATATCTGGTGGATCAATGTGTTGGGTTTTTAAAGATGTGCACCAACATGAAGCACCTACTACATGTATTTACTTGAAAAAACTTACTTTCAAAGGTAGAAATAGTTTAGCTCTCTCCATCTATCTAACTTGGCCGCTTGATACAGTCGACAGCCGACCTTATTTGGCTAGGAAGAAAACAACCTCTGGTGTTTCTTGATTCATTAAAGGAGGCGCACCTCTTTTTTCTGGAAGGCATGACCAATGGTACCTATGTTGGCATTTTTACTTTTCATTGCTAATGATGCTTCTGCGTATATTTTTTAAAAAATGACACTTGGACTTTGGAGGCAGCGGATGCCAAGAAAAACTTCCCAGAGCTCTACAACACATGGAGAGAAGATCCATCAAATTTTAATGTTTATGGTGTTTATCCCATTCGAAAGCTATGGGACGCGGCAAGAGAAGCTTGGAGGGAAATTTTGTCTATGCCCGTAAGCGCTGCGCCTCTCTTTTATTTTATCATTTTAAGGTATGTGATATTTGATGTGGATTTTCCTTCCATCACCTAATTCTCTGCATCATTAGGGTGAGAGCTTTTTGGTTGTTACTCACAAATCCATTCTGCGTGCTCTTATCTGCACAGCACTTGGACTAAGTCCAGAGAGGTGAGTTGCACTGAATTTTAGTGGTAAAAGCAGGACCATATTTGATACATGGTTATAAGTGCACAATGATATAATTGTTTTTATTGGGGCAGGTTTCGAGCAATTGACATAAATAATGGTGGGATTTCTGTATTTACATTCAATAAAAAGGGAGAAGCAATGCTTCAGTCCTTAAACATGACAGCACACATGTACAGCAGTTACATTTATCAGTGATGAATTAGTTCAACTGTATGTAATCAGATCTTCTGAGACGATAATTCCAAGCTGCTGCTTGGCAATGCTTGCTTGTAATCATATCAACTGTATTTATTTCTTTTTTTTTCTATGGTCTGCAATTACATTAAATCAAAGTTTCATCTGTATGGCATTTAATATTGCAGTTCCAGATTTTGCTTCCCCCGCTACTTATGCATGATCTTATTGAAAAATTATTCCATACGGACAATGTATGCAGAGATGCATACGCTGCCGATCTCAACCGTCGATCAAGGTTTTTTTTTTAAAACTGCCGATCTCAACCGTCGATCAAGGTTTTTTTTTTTTTTAAAAATTTAAAATGGAGCCCACCAAAATACATATTTGCTCTGATCGGCGATCGAGATCGGACATCCGTATGAAATAATTTTTCGATCTCTTATCGCAGTGGGAAGGCTTTTTTGAAGCATGTCATATTTTTTTATTTATTTTTATTTATGATACTGTAATGAATTTTTTATGAAACATTTGTTAAGGTTGCTTGCGTGTTGAAGTATCTTAAAGTTGGACTGAATAAATATTTTATGTTAAATTAACTATTAATCTTAATTACTTTTCTATCTTAATATTTTAATTAATTATTACTAAATTTAGTAATAAACTTGTTTTCCTACTTAAATTGTAGCTTATTAACACATTTATGGTAATACTTAGTTGAATATAAAAAAAAATTGTGGAAATTTTTCTTTCTGACCTATTACTTAATCATTCAATAATTATCCTTGTCAAAATTTGATTAAAATAATTAATGTTTAAAATTAATTAGCCCAATTAATTATTAATTGATAACTCAGTAACAAGCATTAGTCAAAGACAATTAAAATAGTTGCTTTTAGAACTTAGACATCTGCTCTCTATAGAAACATGACTGCATGGTTTTAAAATTTTTAAGACAATCAATTATTAGAGTTTAATATCATATATCCTTTAATCTTCTGATGAAGTAGATATATTAGTAATAATATTTGTCGCATAATCATTATGTCTTGAAGTTTAGTTAAATATTAGTCCTTTTAATTTTGCCAAAATATTAAATATGTTTTAAAAAAAAATGTGTTGCATTTGTTAACTACAATTATTAATTTTTTAAAACATAAAAAAAAAATTCTGTGATTGCCAAGTTATTATAATTTGACAAGAATATCAGATGTGAATTTTGGTAAGGAAGATTTAGGAACAAGGTTATTGTTGATGTGCCTTGGCTGCCTAAACATGCATGATTCAATTGACTTGTTCTTCACAAGGAGCATTACAATAATGTAGTATTGGTGAATAAAAGATGATTACAAGGTAAATTACAAGAGTTTGTTAGTTTACATAATAAGCCTAAATGATTTAGTATCTGAATAAATATTCGTATAGTAGTTGTGCAAATAAAATAAATAAGAAAAAAGATTAGACATCGTTGATTTTTGTATGATTCAGTTACCATCAACCAACATCTAGGGGTGTAAACGAGCCGACGAGCGAGCCATGCTCGGCTCGTGATCGGCTCCTTTATTTTTCTACCTTAAAAAATGT